GCATCAACTTAAATCATCACCAACATGCCCACCTCCAGCGATGTGGACTCGATTCACGCCTGTCCTCACTGCGGTTGCACACTCACTTCACACATCGGCTTGGTCGGTCACTTGCGAATCCACCGCACGGAGACTGGCGGACCAGTGCCTGAAGCACCAATCTACACTCACCGCACGCGCCTAAACTGTCCTCACTGCCCCCGTACATTCACTCACCGCATGAACTTAACAGGTCACATGAGCATTTGCGAAAACCTTCGGCAAGCAACTGCCGGCTGCACCACACATCTGCCAACAATAAGCGCATCATACAATAAGATCACCACTGCATGCACTCCATTGTCACATCCCACGCACGTGAAGATTGTGCTTCTCGGCTGCGCCGTCATGCGGCTCCTCTGATGCGCGCGTGACGATGCGCCAAGCGCCGTGGCTTGGGAGGCTGCCGACTGACGCCTCAGCTCAGTCCACGCAGTCTGCCCAGCGGTCTGTGTGGAATGGCGGACTGGTGGGCTGAGAGTCAGGCTGTAACGGCTCCTTCCTAAAGTGACCTGTGGCACTCTCAAGCGGGTGGGGAGTATGTGTTTACGGGTAGTGCCTTTCAGTTGCTGACTGATTGGTTACCCGGCCTTTGAAGAGTGATGGCTCAGGAAAACGCAAGCTGTGTCACCCCTCTGGGCCCCAAGGTTTACGAGCGTCTGTTATGCGATGATCAGCAAACCATGGCCCTCGCAGCCTGGCGTGCGCTGGTAGTTCTCCGGTACTTGGTTCTCTGGCGGTAGATGCGCGTGCGCTCCCGCTGGGTATACAGGCCGTGTGTGTGGCTTCCCCGCCCCTCCTGTTGTCGCTGCACAAAATCCTGATCAAATGTTTGCTGTAGACCAGGGAGTGTGGAGTGGCGCGCTAGGGTGTGGGTTCGGCCACGCAATCCACTAGCACCCCACCTGTCTCCGGTCTTCTTGACTGTCTTGACGCAGGGCCCAGGTGGAGGAGTGCGGTAGACGCTGCCCAAGTCTACTCTACTTTAAACGAATCCACGCGTGCCTGGCTCACCTAGCTGTGGAGCACACGGTAAACATCGTCAAATACGACGGCCGAAGTATCATCAGCAACACAAGCACCCGAAAACGGCCTGCCAGTGTCGCTGCTGGCGCGCGCGCTGCAACATCTGTGGCGTTCGGCTACCACCCCAGACAGGGACAGACGTACGGTTGACCGCACTGCGCGTTATCTCTTAACAGTGGCAATAAAACCACCCAGACTGAAACCCCCCTAATCCGGCTGTATAAACCTTCCAAGTCAAATGCATTCGTGGTCCGACAGTTTCAAGGACACCCCCTAAACTTCTAAGCTTTCGCTAACTGGTTCCAACATACAAAGCACTGTTACCAGCCGAGCACAAATGACGCCGGTGGTGATGCGGAAGTCCCCACGGCAAGAAACCAGCGCCGACTGTCTAGATTGCCCATAACATAATCTGGCGGGCCACCATGACCCCATCTGGGTGCTAAACGATGGCAAAATGACGACTTTCGCCCTATTTTCACATCCGCACACGAGCCGACCGACAGACCGGCCACCCAGTTAACTGCCTGGCCACTTTATGTGGGGATGCGTCTCTAAGCCAATCTATGAGTGAGCCAGCAGTCGTATAACGCCTCTGAGCGCTTGTAGCAGAGAGCAGGGACTCAGTGGGAACCTGTAGTGCCCACGGCGAGAGGGGTACTCTAACCACCACAATCCCAGGGTTCGATCATCCTCAAGGAGACACAAGCAACGCCAGCGTCCGCCCGGTCAAAGACGCCCCACACAGGCCAATAACTTGAGCCAACGACGAGCTCACCGGCAACCAGTGAGTTGACAGAACAACACCCACATCCGTCCGCACTCATCAATGTAGCGCCTGCTTAGCGCACTCGGTTCCATCGTATGCCCTGCCGAAAACATTATAACGAGGCAGGAGCCACAGGACCCTAACTCCCCCGAAGCGCGGGCCGGAGATCCGATCGCAGAACGCGCGCCCCGATATGAATGGTTAGGTCGCCAAAACACGCACTACCAACAGTCCAGAGAATGCTCACCCCGAAGATCCCGGTCGGCGGTGAGGCAGGATACGACTCGCCTCTGGGATAAGCCTGCACAGCACCGTGGACAGGTGCCGACACCGGCGAGCCTCGTGGGGCGATCTAAGTGGAAAGGCCTGACAACCAGGAAGCGGGACCCACGGCGCATCACCCCATCGTGAGAAGCAGAACCGCCACACTGGTAGTGTAACCCGTTGGCCGCGCCAAATAGGCGTCACCCGTCGGGTCAGTGAGACCCGAGATGCTACGCACGGTAAGTAGTGCTCGGTCTGAAGACAGCAAGAGACGCAGACCCACCGTCTCTTACTGAGGACGCGACCCAGCGCAACTAAAACAGATCCAGAGTAGAGCGATGGCCCGCGGATCAGCAACGAAAACTCACACTCAGTCTAACGGATATGAGAAGAAGAGAACGTGCGGAGTAAGAATCGACTTTAATGCATGTGGAAGAGGTGTCATCTGAACAACAGCGTTCTCGGCTTGACGCAGGTTGAAACACGGCCCAAAACCACATCAAACGAACTGTGCAGGAAAACCTTCCTGAGCATGGTCTGAAATAAGAGAAATTGCAGCACTTAGTGGTGAGGCAGATCATAATAAAAAGAGGATCGTCAAGGTTCGGAAACACGGACCAGAGTATAATCATCCAAACTCACCGTGGACTGGTGCCAAACAACTTGCAAACACCAGAGGCCGACCTACAAAACAAGTTGCTGAGTTTTAGATGCGAAAATCTCAGGAAGACTAATCAACAATCATTGAATCAACTGAATAATGTCATCACTAGCAACCCTCCTTACCCCAAGTGGTTGGACGAGCCCGAAGCTTGAATTCTTGGGGACCGGCAGTGGTTCCAGCATTTCCTTGAATATGGAAAACAACTTCGGTTAACATTGAGCGCGAATAAGTGCATCAGGTTGGAAGGTAACATCAACGGTCAGAAACACGGACCAAATTATCATCAGAACTTACAAGAGTCAACTGGACGAGGTGCTGTCAAACACAAGCAGACCAGTCATAAGTATGCTTGTAGACATGCCATCCCACAACTTAAGTCGTCACGCCACGCTGGAGTTGTAGGTTACGTGCGACCCAACAACAGAACGAAACGACGGCTCACCACGACCGCACGCCAGCATCCGACCCACACAATGACCATGCGACAGCCACATGCCGGTCAAGTGCCAGCAGGCAGTTAAAACAAAGTTTTCAGTGTCAGATGCTCGCGATAAGTAGCCCGTCCTATTTATTCAACTAGTTGAATAATTCGACAGTTCGTTCTATAAAATGCGTGTAGGGCGACGAACACAGACTGAGAAACCAAAGGTCAGCAGCAGTGATCTAAAAAGAGAGTTAGGTGGTAGAAGGACTGTTTTTAAGTGTAAGGGAGGAAGGGGAATGGGAAGGGAATAGGAATTACTTGGTGTGGATGCACAGGCAACGCCGGCTACGCTCAGCTGATTATGCCCGCCGTTCGAAACATTTAAGAACTACTCGGGGCCGCCACCATCCGCGTGACGCAAATGAAGCGAGCTATTCAGCACAAATCCGTCCAGGGGGGGGGAAAAACTAACGATAAGGAAATAAAGAAGGTGGTCGTTTTGTACGGTTTGGAGGGTTCAGGAGATAAAAACAGCTGTCCATGAAATTTCGACAGTTAAGAATGTGAGGGGTAGCACTGTATCTGATCTTATCAGTCGCCATTTCTTTTCATGAAGTTGGGACTGGACCAAACCGACGTACTGAAGAACAGCTGTCGCTGTTGGCTAAGGAAATTGCCCCTAGGTGGGACCGGCCATGTGGATCAGAGACCGAGAACGCAATCGCTACTGTACATTCGATCGATGAATTCAGCATCCAAAACTTTTCTGAATGCCAAAAAGGAGTAATCGCCGCAAACAAAGGCAATTATTGGCTGTATCTACAATCCCCCAAACTCTTCAGCCAGTGATGATTCACAACTCTGTAAAATCTTTAAATTAATTTCGGAAGCTGCATTCGATGTTAAAATAATCACTGGGGATTTTAACCTTCCTGAAATTGACTGGGTTTCCAATAGCTGCCCACCCAGATTCCAGTCCTTTCAAGATATTGTCAACTTTTCTAATTGGTCCCAACTGGTGCGCTCTCCAACAAGAGATAATCACACTTTAGATTTAATCTTTACCAATGACATTGCTCCTCTTTCTGTTGCTTTAAAAAATGACCTCTTTGACAGTGACCACGTATTAATTCATTGTTGTTTACCGCTTGCCTTTTCTAAAAAGACCAGCGTCCTTCGGACTTACATGAACTACGACTGCGTAGATAATGACTCAATAAATAACTATATTAGATCTTTGGATTGGTGTGGCTTCCTCACATGCAGCGACGCAACCATTCTTCGTGATGTCATGTCAAATGTTTCCAAGGACATTTTAGAGTTTTTGCCGCGTAGATATCTCAAGCCTACTTCTTCAGATTCCCTTGTTTCTCATTTTCTTCAGAACAGACTAAAAACGTTGAGGCGATAGCTGCGTGACCCATCCACTAGTTCCTTATCAGTTCATCTTAGAATCACAGAGATTTTTGAGATGGCCTCAAGAATGCGCCAAGCGCGCGACAGGCAAAGAGAATCAATTGCTCTCAGTGGTTCGAACCCTGGCAAATCCGTCGCCAACATCTTCCGTCATCGGTCCACCTCTAAGCGTGGTCACGAACTTCCAGCCCTGCTAAATGATAAAAAAACTTTCTCATCGATGACACTGACGAGGCGGAGTTGTTTAGTGCTTTCTTTGCAAAACACCTTACTACCGAGTCCGATCCGGTTCCTTTCTTTCGATCACTTTCGGATAGGACACTGAGTAAAATCGATGTCTCCTCAGATATCATCAGGAAACACATAAGCCTTTTGAAATACTCACACTGCTCAGGAACGGAGGGGATTCCAAATTCTATTATTAAACAAGCATCCGACCTTCCCATATTGCTCAGTCATTTATTTTCGGTTTATATTTCAAAAGGATTCTTTCCTGAAACATGGAAAACATCAATTATCATTCCCGTCTTCAAGTCAGGATCTCGGTCCGATGTTAATAACTATCGGGGCGTGCACAAATCGCCGTCTCAAGCTAAGCTTCTTGAAAGGATTATTTTCAATGAAATTCTTTAATTCTGTCTAGTTAATCGGCCTCTGAGCTCTAATCAGCATGGATTTTTACCTGAACGATCCTGCGAAACATGCCACTTGGCTTTTCTTAATCTTATAATTTCTCTTCGTAATGAGCGGCAGTCAGTGGTAGTTATTTACTTTGATCTTAGCAAAGCCTTTGACAAGGTGCCCCATAGACGTCTTTTAGTAAAATTGGAAGCCCTCGGCATTCGGCCGCCTCTACTCGACTTCATCAAGTCATATCTGTTTAACCGATATCAGAAAGTCATGGTCGGTAATAGCTACTCGACACCCCACTCGATCACGAGTGGCGTACTTCAAGGAACGGTTCTGGGTCCGCTACTCTTCCTTCTGTACATCAATGATATTTCGACTGAACTCGGAAATTCGCAAACTTTTACTTATGCCGATGACCTCAAGTGTGTTTACTCATATTCGAAGTACACCGCAAATGTTTGTGTTGAAAAAATTAATGCCGATTTACTACGCTTAAGCAGATGGGGTTCGATATGACAGATGGAGTTTTCATCATCCAAGTGTAGTTTCATGTCTTTTGGTCCTGCCGAACTTCCTGGTCCCATAAAGGACCAAGGTCTAAGTTATACAAATAATCTTGCTTTATCACCTCATGCAGCTATAATCCAAGCTAGCCTTTGCTTCCTTCTTCGCGTTAACTCTATTTCCGATCTTCCGCTAATTGACATTGTCACTGCGAGTGATCGGTCTTATGCCACGTTCAACTCCTTCATGATGATTCCACCGCCTCTTTGCACTACATCTAAGTACGCTCTCTTCTCTGCTTCCAAATATGCTTTCTTTTGGAATAACCTTCCGCCAGAAATTAGGTTATCGCCTAAGTTATCGATATTTAAATCGAAATTACGCAAACACTTATACCAGAAAGAATAAGGGCACTTTTGACGGTCTCATTCCCGAACACTCAGCTTCTTGACTTTGAGAAGGATCCTCCTGGAACTTAGTGGTAGATCAAGTGGAAACCCTCACTTATGTCTTTACAAACCCTGTTTTGAATTGGTTGCTAAGTCCACTGCCATCACTCCTCCCCCATAGAGACGATTTTCGCGGTTCCTGATGTCATCTCCTCATTTCGACCTCAAGCGCTCTGTCGACGCTCACAGAGGAACCCTCTGTATTCGCCGTCTACTATTAATTTGGTCGTACCTAACTTGTCTCCGTCTCGGCTGGGCTAGAAGCAGACCGTGACCGATTGCGTCTGGGTTCCTCTCTTCTCGCCACTTTGACACGAAGAGTCTCATCCGGCGTATTAATTCTGCCCTGAAGATGTCCGTTTGAATCCCTTATACAATACCACGTGCCGGCCAGTCCTGTCCGACCCGCATACGTATCTCTCAAGACTGAAATTTATTTCTGCCATGACGATGTCCGTTTATAATCCGTTATACATTGGGCAGAATGATATTACCGACTAAGACAAGGGGGACTGGTCATACCCAACCCCGAAGTGTGGCACACCCGAGGCTCGAACTCGCGACCTGTTTGTTAGAAGTCCACGCCTCTAACCACTGAGCCACGAGCCCGTTGCCCTGTCGGTTTTCGATCGGAAATATACAATGGTAGGGGGCGTTCACCGATCGTTCTTACGGAACTCACTCGTTCCGTTGTGCCTTATGGACTCTCTCTCGAGCCCAACCAGCAGCCGCACAGCGGCGCATGATATATAGGCAGAATGATATTACCGACACAAACAAGGGAGACTGGAATGGCCCGACAGGACAACGGGCTCGTGGCTCAGTGGTTAGAGGCGTGGGCTTCTAACAAACAGGTCGCGAGGTCAAGTCTCGGGTGTGCCACACTTCGAGGTTGGGTACCCAGTCTCCCTTGCTTTGTCAATAATATCCTTCTGCCTAAATATCATGCGCCGCTGTGTGGCTGCTGGTTAGGCTCGAGAGAGAGTCCATAAGGCACAACGGAATGAGTGAGTTCCGTAAGAACGATCGGTGAGCGTCCGCTATCACCGTCATACACTGCCACATGCAGGCCGGACCTGCCGGCATTCTTATTCTTTCACGAGCGACAGTTTTCTCCTCCCTTAAAGTTAATCCAATCATCTGTATTCTATAATGGGTTTTTTGCCGCTCGCTCATCATTTTTCTTAACGGACTACTAATTCGGAAACTATGAATTGTGTATTGTACAGATTCTGCCTACCTCGTCTAAAATTCATATGAAAATTTATCTTTACTTGCTATGAAGGGACTTCGATGTGTCTATAGTAAAATATTTTGTTCTATTTACTTATTTGATCAAATCATATTCATTTTTCTTTTCCAAAGGAATGAGTTTTTCCACTGCTGACTGACGTTTCTTTAATGCCCAACTGCTTATTGCATAAGCAGGAACTGGATGCTGCATACAGTCCGTCTACTTAAACTCACAAAGAAATTTATTTTTACTTACTTTGACAGTATCCCCGCGTAGAAACAGAGTCGAGACGCACACTCCTCACTTGCGGGGAGGTGGCGACTGGATGCTTGTGATGGTTGTGTGATGCACGTGTTGGCGGGCGAAGGTGTGGTGGTGTAGTGTATGAGGCGGTTGTCTACCGCAAGTTTTCATGAGTGCGCTTGTGGTCTAATAGACCCATGCGGTGAGTGAATTTGCGGTGCCAGTGCGGACAATGGACGCGAATGCGGTGAGTGCAGGTTCGTGCGCCGGGCACTGGTTCTCCAGTCTCTGTGCGATGGATTTTCAAGTGACCCACCAGGCCGATGCATGAGGCAAAGGTGCGGTCGTAGTGAGGACACGTATTGAGCGAGTCCACATCGTTAGGGTTCACGGTGTGGCGGTTGAAACTTGATGGTGCGCCTGGATTGTGTGTAGGGGTGGTGGGTACAAGAGCCGCAGCAGCAAATGTTAAGGCGATGGAGTAGGCAGAGGAGGAGGACGATGGTAGTATGGGTTCGAGATTGCGGGCGTGAGTCCGTCTGGTGCCCCGAACGTCCGCTGACAGCGTGGACAGGTCGGTGGCGGTTGAGCGTTGGCGTTGCGTGGTGAGCGCAGTTGAGATTTGCGAGCTTCGCGTTTGGCTTTGGCGGCAGTGATGCAGTTGACATCTAAGATCGCTGCGTCCTCCTTCACTGTCATCCTCCACCACGACCAGTCTCAACCGAGGTCTTCCCGGTTGGCAGAGTTGATCTGCAGACACTTTAGAGAGGACCTCAGAGTGTCCTTATAGAGACATATTTGACATCCTTGGCGGCGGAACCCGTAGCAACATCTCCGTAGAAGAGTTGTTTTGGCAACCGCTCGTCGTCCATCCGCACGAGATGGCCGCTCCAACGCAGTTGCTGTTGTCCTAGCAGGGCGTAGATGCTGAGGGTTCTTGTCCTCTCCAGTACATCCGTGTCGGGGATCCGGTCCTGACATCTCAGCTTCAATATCCGTCGAAGACAGCTGAGGTGAAAGTGACTGAGTCTCCGCGCCGGTCCGCCTAACACGTGAGACTCAGTCTTCAGCCTGCGACGTCTTGACGCCGACCGATAATTCTCTCCTCACTGATTGGCCGCAGTCGGATGGACGCATACAATTCGACTGAAACTTGTCTGGTAAGGACGCAATTTGTAGTTACTTGCTGCGTTGCCTGTACGCACTCCGTCTCAGTGAGTGCCTGTCCATCTAACTGCCTTCCCTACCTTCTAAACAAGGAACCTTCCAGTTGTCGACCATGACAGTTTAACAGGTCTACGCAAGCAAGGGGAGGAGGCTCAACCACTTCCACCTCAGTTGCCTCCAGAAAACACAAATCCGAGGTGGCAAGACAAGCGAACCGGACTTCTCGGCACCAACGCCATGCTGAGGCAAGCAATAGTAAAATGGAGCGACGATGCTGTGAAGATGGATGGCTGATACCTACTCGAGCTACGTTGTTAGGTGTGCTCGCTGGCGGGTAAGACAAAAAGGACGTTGAGAGATCACCCCGAACACACCTCTCAAGCAACAGTAAATCAACCCGGAGACCTGGAAGAACTTAATCTAGGGTTGACTGGGCTGGAGACCCGCTGTGAAGACTGGACCAGCAATCTTCGATGTCTACCGGATAGTCACTACCAAGGCAAAGAGAGCGGCTTACAAGTCTCAAGCGTCACGGACCAGCCAATTAGACACCCGACACCTACTAACATGCTCAAGCTGTCTACGGACATTAAACGCACGATTTGGCCTCATCGGACATCTCCGAACCCAATGCAATGTAAACACTGCAACTTCCCCTCTCACCTCCGAAAACGCCTCCATCACCACTATCACAATCCCTTACGACGACGGCGATGACACGGTAATCACCCACACAACAATCCCGAAGTCCTCTAAGTCACCACCACCACCACC